GTCCCATTGCAAATGAAGAAAGACAGACCAGGCTTGTTGTTTGGAGTGTAAATGTGTGTGTGTGTGTGTGTGTGTGTGTGTGTGTGTGTGTGTGTGTGTGTGTGTGTGTGTGTGTGTGTGTGTGTGATTTTTTTTACCAACAAAAGTAAAAAATAAGCATTGAGCACCACGATGTGGCTGTCTGTTTCTCTGTACTGGTTTTTTTTTTTTTGCCACACCAACAGCTAACACGTAACGTCTGTGGTTGTTTTATAAACCTTGATTTCTTTTTATTAGGTCAGAGTTTTGAAAATGTAAATATTTGCAGAAAACTATGCAGTAATTTAAAAGAAGTTTCCAGAAGTTACACACACACACACACACACACACACACACACACACACACACACACACACACACACACACACACACACACACACACACACACAACACAGGCCAAACACATCTCCTCTACAGAGAGCTTCAGTCTCCTCCCTTTCCAGTCGGCTCATGGCTCAGCAAATGAGGCTAAACGAGCTATTTCCTAATCCACTTTGCCTTACGCCCTGGAACACACGTATGTGAAATAGTGATGAAGTGGGTTTCGACCACACCAGTCACGTATTTTGAGATTTATCAGCTTTTAAAAGCTCGTAATTAGCGTGACTACAAAGTAGGGCTGGGGGTAAACGATTATTTTTAAAACGATTATTCTGACGATTATTTTATCGAATAGTCGACTATTCTAATGACTATTTAGAAAATTAATCTAATGATTATTTTTCTATTGCACAATTAACAAAAACCAGAAAATCTCAAATAAATTCCTCAAAAAAATTGATAAATTCATACTGTAAGAGAATAAACACTACAGGCCTTCCATTTTGTACAACACTGCGTTTATTGTGTTGGTTGGTTATGTTCTGGTGACGTGTAGAACTTGGGAGTGCAGGCTGCTGCCTGAGAGGTGGTAGAAGATGGAGTGTCTCCATGCTGCTTTGTTTTGGTCACTTTTGTGCGTGAGGCGAGTGGTCTTACGGGTTAAACCAAACTCAGGTGATGTTTTACACTAAACCGAAAACACAACACTCTAAATGTAATAAAAGGGAGATCTACGCCACAAAAAAGATGAACTCTAAACCAAAACGTAACAGCTTATCCCAACGCAAGAAGCTGTTAGCGAAAATGCTAACAGTAGCTTTACCAACGTTAAGTTCAAGTTACCAAGTTTAAATAAACCAAAAACACCCAGCAGCAAACAGACCAGCACGGAGGAGAGACTGCTACCACCAAAACAGCTCTCCTAATGTCTGAAAGAAGCTCCTTTATGAAGGGAGAAGCGCTCCCGGTGATTTTCTACATCTGCGATAGACACGAAGCAGCGCATCTGACCCCGGAAGTTGTTGTCCGTTGCCGGGAGACGAAGGGGCAAAACAGGAAAATAATCTAGTAGTGGACGGACGTTGTTCCGGGTCTTCGGTATTTGGCGGAGATGTTGGTGAAGGCGGAGAAGAGGGCGAACTTGAGGAAAAACAGGCAGATTCCTCCTCTATTTACAAACTCCTGGGGATGCAACAAGTGGGCGCGGTGCGTCGACTTCCGGATCTGACGTCGACAAATTTTTAGAATCGAGCCGTCGACTTCGTCGAGGCTTCGCTACAGCCCTACTACAAAGCAGACATCGGTACGTCGCATTTGTGACATCACCACAGAATCTTCTCTCCCCTAGCGTAGCTGCTACTTACCACATGTCCAGTTTTATGGTGGCTCTTTCCTCCTGAAGGAAGGATTTGAATCTTGCTAGACTTGCAGCCATTTCCCTCAGCTTTTCTCCGTGTCTAGTTCGATGATGTCACTTTGGTGATGCGCATTTGTAAACCTGTACACATTTTCACACAAAACCTTAAGAAACTTTTGCTCCCGTTCGAAAATAAGTGCTTTCTTAGCATCAGAATGTGTCTTTAAAATTAATGGACATCATATGTGAAATCCACGCCACATAACAAACGGGATTAGAAAATAGCGTTTTTAGGGGTTTCATCTTTTATTTCTCTCTTTGGTTTTTTTCTGCCTGATGAGACAAACTAGAAAAATGTCTGAATCTCTCCCTAAGCTGTCCTGGACCTAATCGGGCCACAAAGCCATGAAAAAACAGCTGGTGTAACTGCAATTATATAACAACCAGCAATCACATAGACACACACGCACGCATGCACACGTGCACACGCACATAGTACAGCAGTACACTGTATGAATAAAGATGTAGTGTGTGTTTGTGTATTCACACATTTGTTCAATTCATGTAAAACACACACACACACACACACACACACACACACACACGCAAACACACACACACACACACACACACACACACACACACACACACACACACACACACACACACACACAATGTTACATAAGCTTGTGGTCTGACTTGGTGTGTCAATGAAAACACCAGACTGAAACAGCTGACTGGCTGGATCTGTCGCCGTGAATGACACACACACACACACACACACACACACACACACACACACACACACACACACACACACACACACACACACACACACACACGGTGTACTTTGTATGATGTTAAAGTTGTGAGGGAGTCATATGAGGTTAGGGAAAAGTGGTTAAGTCAATGTGGAAGAGTAAAAATGCATACATTGTGTGTGTGTGTGTGTGTGTGTGTGTGTGTGTGTGTGTGTGTGTGTGTGTGTGTGTGTGTGTGTGAGTGAGAGCGAGAGAGAGAGAGAGAATATTGATGGCTTACATCATCAGTATCAGCTGAGATGACTCGTTCAGCTTCCTTGCTTAAACCAAACAGAGTAAATTTAGACGTGTGTTGTTTCAAGACTTGGTTTCACCCAGATTTCTGACTAAAAACAGATCAATGATATCAACTTTGTTTTATTGTAATAAAATTTTTACACAAAATTATTAAAAAATGCATCTGTGGTGAAGTTGCTGATCTATGATAAAAAATATGTTTTATAAAAAACGGCATGACTTAAGTTTTCTTACAGTCAGTTAAAATATTCACCTGAAGCGACCTTTAGAAACATAACGCTAAAACAATCAAAGATTAAAAAAAACTGTAAATACAGATTTTCTATGTTTTTGATTGCACTTTGTAAAGCTTGCATTTTTATTTTCATTATTTTTGTTTTTACATTGAAATCCTTGATTTGATTTGTTGACTTAGCTCCGATTTTTTTTCTTTTGTTTTCCTAAATGAGTTTTTGAGTTATTTTTGTGTTTGCATTGTTTATATTTATGTTTATTTGTTTAGCAGACGCTGTAAATCCAAAGCGACTTACAATTTATAACCTATAGGGCATGTTGTGATCTGTGGGGGAAACCGGAGTACCCGCAGGAAACCCACGCATGCATGGGGAGAACACGCAACTCCACGCAGAAAGGCCGCGGCCGAGTTTCGAACCTGCGACCTTCGTGCCGCGAGGCAACATTGCTAACCACTGCGCCACCATGCAGCCCTGGTGTAGTATTGCAGTACTGTCATGTTTTTGGGGTGTTTTGTGGAATTTGTTGTGTACCTCTGGGCCACCGTACATCAGTGTTAATCTCATGTCTAAAACTGTGTTTATACATTTAACGTGAGCTTGTTAACCCCTTAAATTTCCACGTTTAATGAACACAATAAGGTTTTGTTCCCTGGACAGGACGCTGGAATGCTAAGGGGATACATAAATGTTAAGGATCAGCATTTATAAATCTCTTTCTCTACTTTTTACACACACTCGCACATGCACACATAAACACACACGGATGAAAGCAGCTGCCTGATGCTGTCTGGTGCTCTGTGAACTCCACACACACCCTCTGAACCTTCCCCCACTTCTGCAGTGCATTTCGGTCCTTTTTATTCAGGTCTGTGTTTGGTTTGCTTGCATCTGTCTGGACCCTCTGCTCCTAGTTGTTGTCAAGCAGACAGATTTACTCCTCCCACCACATCTATAATCTCTTAGACCCCCCCTCCCCTCCCACCCGCTCTCAGATCCCATGGGGATCAAACATCCAGTCAGCTTGACTGACAGTTACATGAGAGGGGAGAGGGAGGGGAATATGGAGTGTGTGTGTGCGTGCGAGCGTGCATGTGTGTGTGTGAGACTGAGGAGATAAAGAGCAGAGTGATGTGAGGAAGAGATTAGTCAGGATAGATGCTGTTGCTGCTCTGCTACACCTTTGTATGTCATGGTCAGTTTGGGCCGCCCGTTTGGTTTTCTGGCTTGTTTGGTTCTAGCTCAGATGGGTTGTTTCAGGACCTTCTTTTACTTTTGCACCGCGGAACAGGAGCTGTAACTCCTAAATGGCATGGCAAACTGGTAACTGGTGTGTTGAAGAGGCGTAGAGCTTCAGGCGGTGAATTTTATGGATTTATATGTGGAGAGAAAGGGAGATGCTCAGATTTGACAAGGGAAAGGCAACCTGGGGCTTTTACCAGCTGTTGTAAGGTTTGTCATTTGTCTACGTATGAAGCCAACGACGACATGCTAGTGCCAGCTATCTGCTACTTTACTAGCTTTTAGCACCAATCTGTCAAATTCTAGGGTGTAAAATTGCCTGAGATGAGTGGAAGGAAAAGATCTAGAATGTAGAAATTATTTTAGAGATTCCGTTTGACCATCTAGGAGAAATACATTCAGCTGTTAGAATGCAATGCAAACTGTGATAATATATGACGGTATAATGCTTTGCAGTGCACCGTTAAGTTGCTGAGAGCGCTTTGTGGCACCTTTTGGAAGTGTTATATTGTGTGGTTTGCAGTGTAGTACACTAGTGCTGACCACTATAAGCATTATGTCATGCGGTGAATGCAGTCGATCCATGGTGGTAATCCATAACAGATGTTGTCAACATGCTGTACCAAAACCTGAGACGCGTAAGTCGTTGTTCCGTCCAAAGTGTTGCAGGATTTGTTTTAATCTGTCAGTGTGGAATATGGGAACCGAACGTGATGAGTGAACCTGCTCTGTTTGTTGTTGTTTTTGCAGGCCAACCCCCCTCCAGTGGTGGTCAACACCAACAGCGCAGATACCCCCCCATATGTAAGTACTACTTTGCATCACCGTGGCACGCTCTCTTACATGTGTATAAACCCATTTTAGCACTTTAGTTTCTTTTAATTGTATTTTTTATGTAAGAACACTCAGGTGGTGTTCACCTGAACAATAAACTGGACTGGACCCACCACACTGAAGGGTCAGAGCTGTCTCTAACTTCTGAGGAGACTGAGGTCCTTTGGAGTGCACGGAGTGCTCCTAAAGACCGTCTTTAACTCAGTGATGGTACCCCTAAACCTAATTCCAAACAGTTTCAGTCAAGGTCACGTCCTCCTGCATCTAATCAAAACAACCACAGTAGGACCCAACAACCTCAATGACTCCTCGAGGGGTGGGGTGGGGTGGGGGGTGGGGGGTATTCACAGGTAGGTTTCAGTTTGTTAAGCAACAAAAAACAACTACAGTTTATAACTCTGTATACTTCTCAACTCTGCCATATTTGAATCAGAACTGACAAAGCTCCTCAGATGAGACGCAAAACATCAACAAAATATTGAAGTCCAGTTGCCTTCATTTGAACCCTTTGGGTCATCAGCCATTTTCTATGATGTGTTTTTTGTTTTTTTGTGGCAGCAGCTGATCTACTGCTGAGAGACTTAGATTAGATAAGCGTGTTAAGAAGGCCAGCTCTGCCATGGGATGTCCCCTTTATCCAGTGCAGGAGGCACGAGATAGAAGGACTCTAGCAAAAATAACATCTCTGTTAGACTGTGTTTTTCACCTCATGCATGAAGCTGTTGTGGAGCTGGAGAACTCCTCTAGTGACAGACTGCTGCATCCTAGGTGCACGAAGGAGCGTTATCATAGGTCCTTCCTCCCAGCAGCTGTTAGGATTTACAACCACCACTGCTCCCAGCAAACCCAGTAACTATCCTCCTATGCAACACTTAATGTCGACGAGTGATGATGGCAGAGGAGGGCCCTCCCCGTAACTGGAGGGTTGTAAGTGTGTGCCCTTTCTGTCACAGAAATAGGAGCTGTATCACATTTAGGTCATTTACTGTCTCTACCATCTAATTTTCGCATTTTTCTACTGTCATTCTACTGGCACACACTCATGATTGCAGTCACACAGTATCCCATTCATGTTTCCCTTTCACTGGAAACACATCTTTTTTAATCCGCACAGTTTTTTAACGTATTTATTTTGTGTTTTTTATTCACTAAAATGTGTAAATATGTGAGTATTTCTGAATCTTATAAGTATTTCTTATAAGTATTTTCTTATTGTTAACTATGTTTTCTTATTGTTAACTATATATATATATATATATATATATATATATATATATATATATATATATATATATATATATATATATATATAAACTTTATAGTGCACAATTATAGAGTGCACTAATTTGTGCACAAACATAAACAAAAAATAATCTGTACATAACATTTTTAATGCAACAACATAAAATATAATACTTGGGTTTTGGAATTTCTTTTTGTCATCGGTAGGGAGGTATGAAAAAATTGATACACTGAAATACCACATGTTTTTGTTTCCTTTAGTGAAATGTACAGGTGCTGGCCAGTAAATTAGAATATCATCAAAAGGTTGAAAATATTTCAGTAATTCCATTCAAAACGTGAAACTTGTACATTATATTCATGCAATGCACACAGACCAATGTATTTCCAATGTTCATTACATTTAAATTTGATATTCATAAGTGACAACTAATGAAAACTCCAAATTTGGTATCTCAAAAAATTAGAATATTCTGAAAAGGCTGAATATAGAAGACACCTGCTGCCACTCTAATCAGCTGATTTACTCAAAACACCTGCAAAGGCCTTTAAAAGGTCCCTCAGTCTTGTTTTGAAGGCACCACAATCATGGGGAAGACTTCTGACTTAACAGCTGTCCAAAAGACAATCATTGACACCTTGCACAAGGAGGGCAAGACACAAAAGGTGATTGCTAAAGAAGCTGGCTGTTCGCAGAGCTCTGTGTCCAAGCACATTAACAGACAGGCGAAGGGACGGAAAAAATGTGGTAGAAAAAAGTGTACAAGCTCTAGGGATAACCGCACCCTGCAGAGAATTGTGACGACAAACCCATTCAAAAATGTGGGGGAGATCCACAAAGAGTGGACTGCAGCTGGAGTCAGCGCTTCAAGAACCACCACGAGGAGACTCATGAAAGACATGGGATTCAGGTGTCGCATTCCGTGTGTCAAGCCACTCTTGAACAAGAAACAGCGCAAGAAGCGTCTCGCCTGGGCCAAGGACAAAAAGGACTGGACTGATGCTGAGTGGTCCAAAGTTATGTTTTCTGATGAAAGCAAGTTCTGCATTTCCTTTGGAAATCAAGGACCCAGAGTCTGGAGGAAGAGCGGAGAAGCACAGAATCCACGTTGCATGAGGTCCAGTGTAAAGTTTCCACCGTCAGTGATGGTGTGGGGTGCCATGTCATCTGCCGGTGTTGCCCCACTCTGTTTCCTGAGGTCCAGGGTCAATGCAGCCGTCTACCAGGAAGTTTTAGAGCACTTCATGCTTCCTGCTGCTGACCAACTTTATGGGGATGCAGACTTCACCTTTCAACAGGACTTGGCACCTGCACACAGTGCCAAAACCACCAGCACCTGGTTCAAGGACCATGGTATCCCTGTCCTTGATTGGCCAGCAAACTCGCCTGACCTTAACCCCATAGAAAATCTATGGGGTATTGTGAAGCGGAGGATGCAATACGCTAGACCCAACAATGCAGAGGAGCTGAAGACGACTATCAGAGCAACCTGGGCTCTCATAACACCTGAGCAGTGCCACAGACTGATCGAGTCCATGCCACGCCGCATTACTGCAGTTATTGAGGCAAAAGGAGCCCCGACTAAGTATTGAGTGCTATACATGCACATTCTTTTCATGTTCATTCTTTTCAGTTGGCCAACATTAGAGAAACAAACATTTTTTCATTGGCCTTTAGAATATTCTAATTTTCTGAGATACCAGATTTGATGTTTTCATTGGTTGTCACCTATAAATATCAAAATTAAACGTAATAAACATCGGAAATACATTGGTCTGTGTGCATTGCATGAATATAATGTACAAGTTTCACGTTTTGAATGGAATTACTGAAATATTTTCAACCTTTTGATGATATTCTAATTTACTGGCCAGCACCTGTAGACCCCTCTGTGTTGGTTGAGACGGCTGATGCTGAGCTTGTACCAGTTTGGACTTTTTATCATCTTAAAGTTGTTTTAAAAATTGCAAACATCGCCCGGCTTACAAATGCCGTGTAAATTCTGAATTAAATCGTATCACCAGATTAATGCCAAAACATGCCCTAGTCATCAGCATAAATAAGTACTGTAGCCAATAATAATAACAGGTTCATTGGGAGCTTCACTGAAGAAGCAGTTTTACTTATTATTTTCAAAAATGATCGGCCACGCTGAGTTTTTCTGTCACGATTTGAGGATGGTTAGGACTCAAAAATGCAGATACCCAGGATGACACGAGGCAGGAGTAGATATATAAAGAAAAAATCCTTTTATTAGGATGAATGAAACAAAAATATATCCAAATGGGCTGGAGCCAAAAAACCAATATTTCCAAAAAGGCTGAGCAGGAGATCAAAAACACTCGAGACTAAGAGACACTGGAAGCCAGGAAAATACTAGAGAAAGCACGAGAAGACTGACAGAATTACCACAATGAACCGACACAACATAGAGACAAGACAGGGCTTAAATACACTGGGAGGAACAATTAGGGAAACAGGAAGCAGGTGTGTGGAGTGAGGGCTGGAGGGAAGGCAGGTGACAACAATTATCTAAATGGGGAAACAGAACCAAAGGAGGGCAGATAAATCTAAAACTATAAAACACAAAACTAAACTAAAATACTGAGGGAAGGGCTCACACACACACACACACACATGAACTGAACTGGGGAATGGACACGCGCGCACACACACACACACACACACACACACACACACACACACACACACACACACACACACACACACACACACACACACACACACACACACACAAACACCGAGCAGGGGAATGACACACACACACCGAGCTGGGGACAAAGAGGCTGGAGCTACAAGGACACAGATCGTGAAGGAAGACCTGGAGGGGCTGGGGATGACTGAATGACACAGGACATGGGAGGAATGATTTTAAAGGGCTACAAAACAGAAGACACATAAATGAGATGCAGACAAAGGACACATGAGGGTGCTATGAGACACAAAAGGGGAATCTAGAGAGGAATGGAGGGCATGAGGAAACACATGAGGGAAGACGCAGACCATGACATTTTCATGCAGGCTGAACGTGAAGATAGTCTCCTACACCTATTTTCTGCAATAGCTTCTGATAGAAAGTTGACGGAGAAACTCTCAGTTCAGAAAATCCTGACAGATCTACGTTACGATGTCACTTAACATTCATGAACTCTCCTTGACTTGCGACGGGGAAGGCTGTTGTTGGTTTAGCGTCCAGGAAACATCTAGTAGAAGCTAACCGTTAGCATTAGCAACTCAACCTCACAGCAGAACTCCTTCAGGCAAAGCAAATGGAGTCAGTGGCAGAGTTGTGCCGCTCTCTGAGTCATAGGCGAGATGTCCAAATACCAGGGAATAAGACTCCAAATCCTGTCGTCTGAAGCTACGTTCTTCCCTGGCTCAATTCTCCGTGCTGAAACAGGCGCACCAGAGTTTTTTTTACCTCAGAGTATGACTATGACAAGGCATTTGCTTCTGCTAGAGACCACTGCAATCGTATTAAAATTTGAGTAAAGATCCTCTTTAAAATATAATTAAGAATGGTGCAAACATTATTGCAAAATTAGCATTTTGGTCTCAACGATTACTAAAATCCAATTCCTTAAAAGTCATCCAGTTTCTATTTATAAAAGGTTTTGATTTCTATTTCATAACTTTATTTGCCTTTTTTCTCAAAAATTCTTTATAATAACTTAAGGCAGGAACACAAGACCAAAACTAAAATATG